AAAGGTGTTGCCTGCATGCATGCATGCATTCTCAGGTGCAGCCTAAACCCCACCCTAGACCCTAAACCTGTGTAGCCTTGCCAAAGGTGAAGCCTTGCCAGGTGTAGCCTTGCCAAAGGTGGAGCAGTGCATTCCAGCGAGAAAACATCTGTCTGTTACGCAGGGGTTCTGCAATTTTATTGATTTGGAATATGCATTTTTAAATGCGTTTTTGGAAGGAGATTGATTCCCATATTGATTTGTTTATTGATTCTGCATATTGATTTCGAGGCTTCATTTCCAAAATCAATAAAACATATTGATTTTGAAGGAAAATCAATAAGTCCACAAGCTTATTGATTGCGGTGTGGCATACAAGCCGACTTTGACCTACACGACCGGAGGTGGCCACAAAGGTGGCCAGTGGAGTGGACCATCCTGGGCCAAAGGCCACAAAGGTGGCAAGCGCCGAAAGGGCGGCGCCAACTACCCCATGCTGACCATCGAGGAGTCCGATTACGTTCTTGCAGCCGCTGAGAAAGGCTAAACCGCTAAGCGCATCTGAGTCAGTAGTGGACACTGGAGCAGCAGCTTCGGCCAGAAGCCAGGAAGCCGTGGAGAAATTGTAAGACACCGAAAGCAGTCGAGGAAGAACAGAAAGCCTTTGACGAGGCTGCGAGCTTCTACGTCACCGAGGACATGTCCCACATCATCAAGGACCGCGCCCAGGTCCTGGAAAAGCAGATCGAGTTCGAGAAATTATAATTGAAGAAGCTCAAAGTCGAGGCTGAAGAGCACAAGAAGTCCGCAAAAAAGCTTCTGAAGAAGGTGATGTTGGCATGTAACCACGAAGCCGTGATCATCGAGCTTGAGGTGGACGACCTCAACGCCTGTGTGGCCGGCGGAACCATGTACACAAAGGACAAGCTTCCGGGCCAAATGCCGCAAAAGAGGCAAACTTCCACCAGCTTTCCGGCAAGGAGAAACTTCGACGATACGATGGCCCGCAAAGTATCGGAGGTCCTCCGAAGCCAAGCTCGTCGAGCGGCGCATGAGAACTTCAATGAGCAGACCATTCGGGGCCGGATCGTCCCGATGAGTTGGTCGTTGACCTGGAAAGCACTGATGGAGCCTGCAGATCCGAAGGACAGGCCGGTCTGCAAAGGTGGCTGCAGAAGGCCGAGGCCAGGGTCATCCTTCTTGTACCCAAGGCTGCGTTGGAGCGCAACCTCCTACAGGAACTTCCTTTTGATGGGCGTGGGTTGTGTGTGCAGACGCAAAGAGGCCCTCAATTTGAAGTGGCAAGGGTGCCAGGTCTGCAATCAGGGCAAGCCATCGAGGTGGTCGGCGCCTTCTACGTCACCAACGCCCCGAGGACAAGATTGGAGCCTACAGGACTATGAGTCTTCAAGAGTTTTTTTGATGGAGACATGATAGGACGTGACATGTCGAACCACACGTCGATGGTTTCATCATCGGCGGTGACATGAGCGATCCGGCATGGCCTGCTATCCAGGAAAGGCTGAGGGCCATGTTAGTTGGGAGCCCACGGCGACAAGGGTCCTTTACGCTTGCAGGACTAGAGGTCCAGCAACTGAAGGATTTTTCGAGCCGTGACACAGTTCCAATTCCCTGCAGCCGGTCGAGATCTCTAAGGAGACCAGCCGTGGACCCGCGTGCAAGCTCACAGACAAGGAGGCCAGCCAATCCCGTGGCCTCATCATGAAGGCTCAATCGCGAGCATTCAGACGGCTTTTCAGTACTGTGCCCCTTGGGCATCGCAGCTTCCGCCTTGAACCTCAAGGAGGCCAACCGCATCCTGAAGGATATGAAGAAGACAGCGAAGGAAGACCTTTACTTCCACTCTTTCAACTTCAGCGGGGGAGAACTTGACTTGGAAGTTGGAAGGACATTGTGCCTGTCCACTTAGGAGACGCTGGCCACAAGGGCAGAGGTGACGGGCTTCGCTGAACCAAGCATCCTCCAGGGAGTTGAAGCAAAGATGTCCATCATTGATTGGAGGAGCTGGAAGCCCGACCGCCCTGCCAAGCGAACCGACTCCACGGAAAGCCAGCGGTTTTACGAAGCCGAAGATCGTGGATGGCGAGTATGGCTAATAGCCGTACTGGTGGAGGTCGCTGCGATCCAGAAGGCCCTCAGGGATGATGGCAAGTGTTAGCTAACGTGGGTGCCCTCCGATATCAACCTGGTGGAGGCTTTGACGAAGGTGACAGCTGATGCCTTCAAGGTTACTGCCACATACTTGGAGCGCAGGCGGTGGGTGGTCAGGTTCAACAACGACTTCGTCAGTGTTCGCAAGCAGCAGAACTTGCGCAAAACAAAAAAGCTGCAGGAGCAAAGCTCCTCGACACAGAGTTCACCTGAGTGGGAGCAACACGATGAGGAGTTTTTGGAGCCTCAGCGTCCACCTCTCCGCGACTAGAGCTCGCAAGGAGTTAGTTGGATGCAGCTGTAGTTTGGTTTTGAGCTCCTTCAGGGAGCTGTCATGCGCAGCTTTAGTGTTTCACGTTGCCCCTTTATGTTCAGATCAGGGGCCCCTTTTGAGTCTCGGCAAATGCGGGTGCTGGAAAGCGTGTATGAGCGATGCAGCCATACACGTTTCTTAGTGCCCAGTTTCCAATCCAGCGGCTGTGTAGCAACGGTAGTTCTGAAGGCCAGCCCAGCCATAGCGATACAACCTTCCGACATAGAGGAGGCTGTGTAGTATCCGGCTTCTCATTTCATCAGATCACCGTAGGGGCTTTACATAGCAAGACAGAGGAGAGGAAATAGGGAAGCAACTCAGCTGTTGAGCAAGCACGAGACGCCGCCACTGTCGCAGGAATCTTGGAACCGAGGCCGGTTTCCCGGATGACCTGTTTCCAAGAAGGCTTTGTCAACAAAAAGCTTCCAGGAGAGTCAAAGCGCATCTTCCGCCAAGCACTCAAAGCACTCGCCCGGTGAGCCTTGCAACTTTCTTTGACACCTCATGTAGCCAGGCCCGTGATCAATCAGATCAGGCCCGGCCGCTGCTCACAGCTGCAAAGGCATCAGCGAAAGACTTGCAGGACTGCGCTAGCTGAAAGCTTGCTCAGATTGGTGCAGGGGAATGTGCAGGTCACATCGAATGCCAAGGAGGCTTGGTTTGCTTCAACATGATCTCGCACGAAAGCCTGGCCCTAAGCTCTTCTCACTTGCAGGAGTCACGACGGCGCATGCGCACGCTCCTTGTGCAAAATCGCTTGCAGCAGGGGCCCCATGCAGTGAAGCATACCTTTGTTTTTGGACATGTGGCCAGTGTGAATGCGACTTACTTGTAGAAGACATCTTGCCATTGTTGTTGCCATTGCATGGTTGTATGAAATGCCAGCGCAGGCAGGCGTGCCAGACGTCATAACAGATGCTTTTCTTGGGTTGTCACTCCATAGCTGAGGGGGGCAATGCTTTCCTCAGGAGCTAGTTGGAATTGAGCAGCGTCTTTTGAAGACCTGGTTAGTTGGCTCGCAGATGGGCCTTACGAAGAGTTGTGGTATGGTGTGCAAGCTTGGCAAGCGACGGTCAGCACATGCTGGGTACAGAGCGTGCTGCGGTCTGCGTCAAGGTCTCTTACTGCAGGAGGAGGTCGAAGTCCTTCTCACCCGACGTTTTTGGCAGCGTGGAGAGTTGCGTGAGGCCTGCAGGTCGTGGCTGCCATGACCTGCTCTTGCTCTAAGCATGGCCAAGATCTGTTTGATTCCTGCCACCTTCCGAGAAAAACTCTTTAAAGAGACGCGCAGCTGCCGACATGTGCTTTGGGCATGCTAAATGACAAGAGCTTGGGGCTTTGGACCTTCTGATTCGGATGCCGACTTTCGCACCGGCGGGGGAGGATTGGCTGCATCTTCAGAAATTCCTTGGCCGAGTTAGAATTCTCGGCCCGACCTGGCGCTCAAGGGACGAAAGTATCGCGAATGGATGCCGTGTGCTTCGGTGATGTTGGACGATTTTGCCACATGTTGCCCATGAATCCAATCAGGATGCTCAAAAAGCAGCTCGAAGTGCCCAAGCAGGACCGCTTTCAACAATTTCCGGCTGCAAGGTTACTCTTTTAGAGTTGTATCTAGGACGAGGCTGAGGACACTCTGGTCGTGGTGGACTCTGACGCAGAGACCCCCAAGGCAGACAGGAAAGTAGCTTCTTGTGAAAAGCTTAATGCTTGGCAGGGGAGCTCCAAGCGGAAGAACGCCCAGGCCAAAGAGTGCGAGAGCTCGAAATCTAACGATTGCTTTCAGGTTGCTTAGCTATCGCAGGCAGAGCGTCCGACAAGCCGCATGCGGTCCCGCGTGCACTGCTGGCTCGGTTTTTTAAGCGTTGTTCGCCGTGCGGCGATGTTGCGTGCCGTGCGGTATATGCCTCCTCTTTTTGCCGTGCCTCTCAAGCAGCTGTGCAGCATGTGACTACGAGGCGGGTGAGTGAAATTAACGTAATCTAATCCATTGTGGATGGCCCTGGCCGCATGCTGGGCTACAGCCAGTTACAGACTTGAGAACTCGCTGCAGAGTTGTTGAACATCTCACTTGAACCATGCGGCCATCAGCACGATGTCCTTCTCCAAGGGCGGCTTGGACCTGCAAGCTGTCCCTTGGCAGAGTTGGCGTCTCTGCTTTTTCTTTGTGAAGCTTTGACAAGAAGAAGACTTTGAGGTCTTTGACTCTCTGCGCTGCCTGCCCGTTGAGAGAGAGCCCATCTTCGCCTCGATCAATCGCCAGTGGGCCACTGGGGCCTTGGAGGAGCTCAGAGTGAGTGAGTTTAGCAGTGAAAAGCTCTTCAATAGCTCAAGAGTAAAGAGCTCCTTACTTCGCTCAGGTCTTGGAGGTCCATCCTTGGAGCTCGCACCGACTGGCCATCTGACGGCAGACGGCGGACGGCCTTTCAAAGCACATTTTTTTTCAAAACCCAGGCGACGGTGATCACGGCCATCCTCCTCCGAGAGTTCGTTGGGCCCGTGTCCTGGAGTCAGCCGTGATTCGTCAAATCCATGCCATCTTGGATTTCTATAATTCTACTGCATCTGCAGCGTATAGCGAGCTGCTGCGAGCTCTAGAGTCAGTCTTCGCTTTGCTTGGCTGCGGAGGTACCGGATCTTGTTCAATCCGACGGAAAGCCCGCAGGGCCTCTACAACCGGCTCCTGAAAGTCTATGCCGAAGATGAGCTGCCCCAGCGCCTCCAACATCAAGGACCAACGAAATCCTAGAAACTCCAGGCAAGAGCTGCGCTAAGAGCTGATGGGAGGAGAGAATTTTGGGTACGCGAACATGGAGGTTTGGGCTGCCAGACTCGAGACCGACGCTTCGCAGCCCGGCTGCTTCCAATCCTGGGTCGGTCACTGACACAGATTGATGTTAGAAATGGAGAAATGCAGCTTCAGACAGTAGAAGCTTCACGAATTGGCTGAGCCACTTGCTGCCCCAGCCTCTTTTAACCACACTCTGAGGGGTTGCCAGGATCAAAGTTCCTGGGCTGCCTACATTCCATCCTTAGATTTGAAAAGCAAACTTCAAGACAATCCTGGGCTTCGGTTCATGAAGCTTGTGCCCAGTTCACTTCATGCACGTTCCGATTCCTGCATCCCTGTTCTAGATTCGATGCTTCCATGAAGTCCAGTTTGCGCAGAGGTAACGGCAGCTGGCAAACTTTGCTCTCATGGCTGTTTCCTGGGGATAGTTTTGTCCTGTGAGCTGCCGTGGATAGAGTGGTTTGGGCAACGTTTTTGCCGAGGAGCTCGTCCTCAATGGTTGATGCAGGCCCCACAGGCTGGTCAGATTCCTCAGGAAACACTTAGAGTCGAGCATGACAGCCGGACAGCCGGACAGCTGCAGGCTATCACGGCTACAGCGGCCTTTTGGCAGCATTTGGCACACGGTGGCGGATATGGCCCTTCTAGCGAAGTGTTCTGCTTTGCCTGGTGCTGTTTGGAGGTTGGTGGGTCTCCGGTGCCTTTGGCCGCAACACGAGCTTTGCCCTCCCGCCGGAATTCTACCGTGCCTACGACGTCAAAGAAGCTGCCAACCTGCCACTGTGGGAGGCACCCAAAACAAAGCAACCGGTCAACCGGTCATGGCTCTTGTCTTCAGGCTATGCGAAGCGTCTCCAATGTCAGCTGTCGCCTGCCTTGCTGTTGCCCGGGTTGTGCGCGAAGTTGTAGTGCCTGCGACGATGTCCACTGGTGCCCAAGTTCTGAACGAGGCTGGGTTTGGTTTCGAGTTGATGCCTTTCGTAAGGAATGGTAGATAAGACACTCGCAGTCCAGGAGCCTGCTGTTTGCACTGGCAGGTGACCTGCTCCCAGCGGTGATTGCAATGCCCGGCGTGGACCAGGGGTTCAATGAGGAGTCAGATCCCACCCCGCCATCCGGCGTCATGCTGCAGTTAATTCACAATTCACGCCTGTAAGCTGCAAACAGATCTGTTTTTTCTTGCCGCCAGGAGATTGCACGTAGCCATGGCTTTCGCTTCGGGGTCCGCTACCTCAGCCCAGAGCGCTACTCGCAGCTGGCCATGCAGGTGCAGCGCAACGATCGCAGTAAGAGGTGGGAAGAGTGACTTAGAAATGCGAGGCTATCTCGATGGGTGCACCCAGCATCGTGCATATGCAGCGTGCTCAGAGATATTTTTCACGGTGCAAACTGGCATTCAACAGCGTTGAATAGCAGCTCTGTTGCATGGCCAAAGTTCACGAGAAACAAAAGCACAGCGTCATTCCTGCAGGTGGCACCCCTCACAGCTCTACACGCGCCCAAACCTCTCAGCGGCAAATTTGCAATTTGCAGCTGCTGGGAGACTGCGTTTTGGCCCGAGGTCTGCGCCTGCTTCAGGCAGGATGCTGAGCCGGATGTTTAGCAAGCATGTCGGAGATGAGATGTCTTGAAAGCGCACAATGGCATGCAAGGTCTAATATGCTATAGAGATCTTAAGCTGCATGTTGTGACTTGTTTTCTTGCGAATGCCTTTTGAAATTTGAGGTCAACCTTTGAGTGAAGATTGGATGGTAGGTTAAGGATTAGGTGTTTCCCAGGTAGATTCAGGCGATTCTGAACAAATTTGGTTGCGACGCTGGGTCTGCAGGTGTTGTTCCCTTGCAAGGTAATGGAGATGGCAAACCTCGAAAACTTGGCCCGCAACTTCGAAAACAAAGCCCGAAGCCTTGAAGTTGACTAAAAGACTGGAAGCAGAAAATTCCGGCCAGGCACGTGCAAAGAGATCAGGGAAAGATTCAACTTGTGAACTCAAGTTGAAGCGTATACGGTGTGAGGCAGCTTCAATGAGTTTGATTGACTGAGGGAGAGGCATCAAATAAAACTGATAAGAGATCAGAAAGAACTTTGATAAGGGATCTAAAAAGATTGATAAGGGATCAAAACAATTCGGGAAGAGTTGCAAACTACAGTACTTAGGCTCTCCCAGGTCCCGGGCCTCCAAGCGCCTGCCGTCGAGAGAAAGAGCGAAACTGCAGAACAACATGAGAAGGGAAAGAAAGAAAGAATTGAATAGAGAAAGAAGAACAAAAACACCAAGAAGACACAACAATCAGGGAAATAGAACAAGAAAGACCGCTCTCGTGCTAAAACGCAGCCTCATGTCATCACCTTTATCATCAGCATGTTTGCAGTAAGGGAAGGTTGTGCGGATAATTTGGTTTGCAAATGGGGTTGGCGGCTGCCCCCAGGTGAGATTGGCACGAGCGTGAGCTACCTCATTACAGTGTTGTATAGTTGACAGGCGAGCAGGTGTCAAACTTGAGTGCACATGAGCTTCCTGAAAGGTTTCGAGCTTGACCAAAGTGAATGCTGCCCGTTCCTTTTTGGCAGGTGTGAAGCTTCATGGTTCACCTGGAATCACAGGTGGCAGCGGAGCCCTGAGCTCCAAGGGTTTTGGGCTGCGGCGGCAAGTTGGAGTTGTGACAGGTGCCCCCGAAGGAATTGTGGACGCTGCCCATATATGACAGGTTGATTGGCAAGGAGGCGCTACTGAGATACGCAGAGTCTCTGAGACAGCATGGTCTGAAGATTCGGTGGAATAACACGCGCAAAGCCCATGCTTGTGGATTAGGAGGAAAAGCGACGGTGATCGGCATTGCGGAGGTTCCGGTAGGCATCGCAGGGATCAATGATTTTATTGAGCTAACCGTTGTCACGGACAATGTGCCAATGCTTTTGCCAATCAAACTGCTGAAGAATCTCAGGGCCGTGGTGGACTTGGATTGAGACGTGCTGGAGATCAAGTCCTTTGGAATCAAGGCCCCAGTGCATCAGCTTCCTTCAGGTCATATGTCAGTGTCTGTAGTGGAGTTTGAGCGCGGAGGCTAGAGCATGCCTAAGGAAGCCAGCACGGTTGAGCATCCTGAACAGTTTACGTATGTTTTGCAGAGTATGACTGATCTCAAGTCAAACGCCGCCCAGTGTCCTGACTCTTCACGCAAGACCGATGGCCAGTGCATCCTTGCTTGTGGAACGCATGATGGCGCACAGGGAGCAAGTGATGAGAGGAAGTGCAAATGTGCCAGCGGCAATGTTGAGGCAGAAGAGAGCGCTTCAGCGATGGAGGCAAATCGGCGAGAAGTTGGCAGACCTCATGACTGTCATCGGCCTGCGCGCAAGCGTGTTGGCCTGGCTGCCAAGTTCCTCCTCGCAACTTTTGGGTCTGGGCTCGCTCCTTCTACCCGTCAGACAGGCAGTTGGAGTACAAGGAGATCATCAAACACTTCGAGTACCTCTGGGAGTCCGCGAAATGAAGGACCCTCCCAAGCAAGTAGTGACTGCTTGCGATACTCGAAGGAAGTCTATTGCTGCACAGAGGCCGCTGGAGGTACATGATGCCCGAGAAGCTCACGGAAGTGAAGAAGATGTCGAGCAAACCTATGTCGGGGCCGTCGGATGCGACCTCAACAGCTCCCTTGATGTCCAGTCAGGGGGTCGCTTCGAGCTCGGATCAGGTGCTTTGCGGATGCTTCATCTCCAGGCAAGCGGTTGCTGTCCTAGAAAGTCATGCGTCCAGACTCCTGTCCCAGCAAGATATGTCCTACGGGTCGTTTGAGAAGCTGATGAGCGATTGGCCGGACATGTCTACGAGGCAGAGACCTTTCTCCAAGAAATGGTAGTATTTTTTTTGGGCTGTAGGCGCGTGGACCAGTACGGAGTGACACGCAGAACCAACGAGCTTCCGACTTTGACTAGATATCTGAGCTCGTTCGTGCAATACCAGTGCAGATGCCAAGGTTTGGAGCGTGCAAAGTGGATAAGCATGGCTGTGGGGGTGAACGCAGGCAGTGGAGTTCATTGCGACGTC